TTTTTTTTTAATGGTTGGCAGTTACTAAACTAGCTACAATCATAAACTTACCAAGCCTTTCCCGTCAGACAAGTAAGTTCTGAGGGAGGGCAGTAACTTATATTAAGAAGAGGACACTGCCAACAGATCCACCATAAAGAATTCAGTAGATGATCACAAAAAGGTGCAATAACGGATATCACATTTAAACGAAGGAAATTCTGCAACAAGTATAATGTCTTGCCTGATGGAAGTCTGTCACTTGATTCCCTCCATGCAAACTTAGTCTTTGGTTTACAAAAAAACTAAGAGCAGATGCAACCAACTTCTCTGTCTGGAAATTAAAAGAATTTAAAATAGAAGTTTATGATGTCAAAATTTAAACGAAAAAATAATTAAGCACCTCTGCATAACCCATTGAGATTCGCTTTGCATAATCAGAAGCAACATGCTGTCTTTCTGTACCACTAACTGCATCATGATGCTGAGCAATCGCCAAAGCATCTGCTAATGCATCAGTATTTGGCCCTGATTTGCTCCTTCCTTTAAGGAATTCGAGCTGTCTTGCTGCCTAGAAGCCAACATAAGAAGTAATAGATTTTCCCCAAAGACGAATAATAAAAATGATTTTGATTTATGAGAGCTCATGAGGGCATAACAAATTACCCTAGAAAGTAAAAGAAGCCTTAGACTTTACCTGATAGTAACCACTCATCACCCTAACATAACCCTTTAAAGCTGGCCTACTTGTAAAATAGCCAGTCCAATATGCATTTGGATGATCAGCATACCTGGAAATTTGTATCATATTCAAAATTGAGCTCTGTGAAGTCTAAATCTAACAATAAAATATCCAAGAGAAACTCACGGGAAGAAATCATCCAATTTGAGTGGCCATTCCTCATTTGCTGCATATTTTGCGTCAGTATATATAGATGGCGTTGAATATAATGCATTGACACGCCCATCCTGAGAGTATGCCCCAAAAAAGTACCATAGTCATAAGTCAAAAGAAGAAGCCGAACCTATGAATATCACCAGAGATGGGAAAAATGTCCTTGAGAGAATATTTTTATGCAATAGCAGTAAAGATAGATTACCAGATTGACATAATGGATAAACTTGTCCATCTGTCTGAACCATGAATTCGCATATTGATAACGGAAGTCAGTTCCCATCGTCCACATGATGTGATTTGTCCTAGTGACATTAGCCTGGAAACAGGCAGACAACTACTTTTAAACCACAATTCCAATGATTTTCAAAAATCCTATCACTAACAAGATAAAACATAACTAAGGACTTAATAATTAATTTACAGTCTCATGGAGAGATGGTGTTTCTGTTGCATCATCAGTCCGCATCCACAGGTTACACTATTAAACTTTAACTTGCTTCTTATACCTCTTATATGCATTTAAGTTGAAATGAGAAACACATTTGATCCAACAAAATGGCAGCTCAAGAGTCAGCCAGATCTTACCTGAGCTAAAGCTGCAGATACAAAGTCATTGACTCGTTCTTGAACATTATAGTCAAACAGGAGAATGTCATCCTTCAATTCACAGAATGGAGAATCTTAGCAAATGTAAGAACAGGGTATTAAATGAATGGCCAAAAAAAAAATGATCAAGGCATTAAACGTTTCCTCTTACTATAAAATAAAATCCTACCTGAATAGGAGGGGAAACATCATTTATCTCAAATGTAAAACCATCAGGAGGATCATAATGCCTAGGAAATATCCCAGTAAATATCTGCAATGAAGTTAGCCACGAAAGTAACTCATGTGAATTGATTTGCAAACAAGTTTTTACAGGAAAATGAAACAAAATTCATTTTTAAGTTAGATAACTCACTTGTGAAGAGGATCCAAGGGACCTGGAACCCCTCCACACAACCTCGAGAGTCTTCTCCTTCAATCGCTTGGCTCTATCTTGGTAATCAATTCTTGCGAAAAAGAGTGAATCAAATCCTAGCTGCAGCAGAAACAGTCACATATTATTTAGAGATTGTATACAAATAAAGACATAGCAAAATGGAAGTCATTTTAGAAAAATATTAAAATTCCAAACCTAAATACAGTCACCTAAATTAATAGTTATAGGAATTGTACAGATATCATTCGATAATAACCGGTACAGATATAACTTATCTTAAAAAAATTGTACACATATTTCTACAGGTTAATAAAGACATACCTCGGCACCAAGCATATAAGCCTGAACTGCAGAATGGCCAAAAGGATCAATCTGCCAGCCAACTCTTGGAATCTTGCCAAATTCATCTTTGATGAATTGATGCCCCAGAGTTGTCTGATCAATTAGATCAATATAATGCGGGGTGGCCTCATCATGCATACACATGCCCCCATTTCTTCAAAAACAAACCAAAGAAAAGAAAGAAAGGTAGAAAGCAAGACTACTATCAGTCATCGATTAATGTATAATGTAAGAAAGGTTCCATTCTAGAAGTAGAAAGAAACAATAGAACTAATCTTTGATGTCCAAGATAATCAGTAGCTACTGACAGAAGAAATAAAGCATTAGATGATTACATGAATTCCAGCTGACCCGAGTTGACCAGCTCTTTCACCTTAGTTTTCATCGCTTTGCTTTGCTGTCTCCACCACCTCTGGAAAAATGCCTGAAATGGGAAAAGTTAAAATTTACCTTTCAAAACTTCCAACATTTTGAATTAAACAATTATGCCAGTCCCAAAAGTGTTTTACCATCTCAACATAGATGAACTTGCGATTCTTATCGTCCAGTAACGCAGATATCACGGAATCCAATACGTTCTGTACACATGCACCCTGTCCAGCAAACCAAAACCACATTCAAACATGCGAGAAATCCTTCGGTAATCAGCTAAGTAATTTATTTATCCTTTTTCCCTCATCGAAGTAAAAGAGTACAAACCCGAATGGAATTATTGCCTCCAACATAGTATTGATCAACAGTCTTGAGCCAGCCCACATCATCGTGAGAGTGAGGCACCAAATGGACATTAATTTTGTCAGGGACGATACTTTTTGTGGTATTGTACTCTATATACTCTGACTTCCCACCCACAAATCCCACCACTAATACCGCAAATAACACCGCTGCGATCGCCATGGCTGCTACCTACGGAGCTCAGAATGTCCCCGTCAAGGCACTGAGTTAGAAATTACCACATTTCTGAGCCAAGTTGCCAGCGAAACATTCAAGTTTCATTACTTATAAGATCAGCGATCTTTCACGCTGTCAACAGTCAAGATTCCGAAACTTTGGGTGGTCAAAGGAAAGGAGACAAATAAATCCGTAAGAATTGTTCGATCTTGCAGCTCTGATGAAGTTGATATCATTGACCATTAATAATGTTCCCAATACTTTGAGAGTAATTAATGGTGATAAACTGACGATCCTACTCAAAGCTGCGGAAGCAGTATATTTAAGCATACCCAAGAAAATAACTTGCTGGATATTGGATACTAATTCTCTCTCTGTTTTTTTTTAATAACTCGCTGGATACTAATTTAAGCTGAGCAGTTCTGAGCTGATAATTTAGCTCTTCTGGTCATTTCTGATTTTTTTCTTTATTAAAAAAAAAATCTGTGTGTCTAAACGAGGAAAGAAAGTTACAACATGCTAAATAATTTTGAACATTGACTAAGTTACTGAATCCTAGTTTATTGGCCTTTTAACTAAAAGAAAACAAGCTGGATGATTTTGAACAATGAGATAAAATGCATAGTTTAATCGTAACTGTTTTGTAACACCAAAATTGTTTCTGATAACAGAAATTGGTATATCAAACAAAGTAATAAAAAATATTACCTGGCTCAACATTACATATATATATTAAAATAATTTTCAGATCATAAAATTAAATATTATATATTTTCGCACATATATCAATATGATTTAGCATCTATTTTATGAGAAAATATAATAAAACCCCACCAAAAATATATAAATGATAATTAAATCTCTTAAAATATCATAATTATGCTAAAATTTTTATGTGCTTCTCTAACATTAATAATTTTAGATTAAATGATTAAATTATCTTTTATTTAAAATAAAAAAATAGCATATTTACATGGAAAGTTGTGATATTTATTCAGTTTTGTAATTTATAAAATAAAAGTTGTAATTAGTTATTTTTATAATTAAAATTTTAATGGTAAAAGAAATTTCATTTGAGAAGTTAAGATTTTTTGTTCAATTTTTGTAATTAACAAAATAAAAATTGTGATTACTTAAATAAAAATTATTTTTGATTATTTTCAAAACTTGAATTTCAACAATAAAAGAAATTTTATGTGAAAAGTTGTAATTTTTTATTCAATTTTTATAATTTATAAATTAAAGTTGTGATTATTTAAATAAAAATTTTGATCGAGACTTGATTATTTTCATAACTTATTTATCAATCATAAAAAATTTTATTTAAAAAGTTATAATTTTTTATTTAATTTTTACAATTCACAAAATAAAAGTTATAATTATTTAAATAAAAGTTGTAATTGAAAAAATAGAGTCAAACCTGTTATTTTTATTTTAAACAAAGGGTAATTTAATCTTTAACCTAAAATCATTAATGCTAGAAAAGTATATAAAAATTTTAAAAAAATTATGACATTTTAAAAAATTTGATTACATTTATATATTGTGGTGTAATTTTATTGTCATTTTTCCAAATTCTCCTAGACTCTAAAAGATGGTTTTGAATTTTGATACATATTAAACCAAAACGAAAATAATTGGCTAAGTATGTGTCTGGTTTTAGTTTACATATGACAAAAGTTCATTTAGAGGGTCTAATTGTTTGTTGGATTTGGCAAAAATACATCTTATATATAATTTGAATGTACTTTTAAGAATTATCCAAATATGTTTTAATATCAATAATAAGGAAAATTTGTAACTTTTTTATCTTCTTTCTTGTGTTTTTTTTGTTTTTGCTTTTACACTTGATATCTTAAAGTATTTGGGTATGTTGAGTTAATTGTCCGTTCAATCCATTTCAAACTAATTCAGCTCTCCACTTATTAGTGAGACATATTTCGCATATTCAATTGCACTACTGCATTTTTTGAGACTAAACTGTCTGGATTCCTAACTACTAAAATAAGTGCGGGTTGGTTCTTCCTTTTTCTGTTGAATGACCGTAGTTTCCCCCTCCCTCCAAAAAAAAAAAAAACAAAGTGGCCCCTGAGTCTCATGACTTAGCCCATAAACAGTGATACTTGCTCCCTGCAACTTTTGGGTAATAGAGGCTCTCTCTCACAGGTCTCTTCGTTTAATTAATCGAGAGCCAATAGCCGGGCCTGATCGTTACCAAGGGGCCACTATTTCAACTAGTTGTGGCTTGTAATATGGGTCTTTCTTTACAAAAAACAAAGTCGGTGATTCAAATTCAAAACAAACCCAAAGAATTTTATCAAAAAAAAAAAAAACGCAAGGACAATATAAGGACATACGGTAATCGAATCCCCTTGTTGCTCGGAAGTAGTGAAAAGCACGAATTTTCTTCCCTCACAAATAGTTCGATTATCTGAAACCCTATTTCCTTCACCATCGTTGTCATGGAAGATAGTTTCAGGGTGCGAGTGGACAGGGTGTTTGGTTCTCTGGCTTCGTCTTCGAATTCGACTTCGTCTACTGAGGCGACGTCTCTCAGCTCTCTGTGGTCTCTCTCCGACGACGAGATCCTGAAGAGAGAATGGAATCGAAGCAGGGGCAGCCCCGAGCCCGAACCGGAACCCTTCCCGTCGTTATTCAATGATCGAGCAAGAGCAGCCCGGAAAAGCTCTTCCAGTTTTCGAGATGAGCTGGAGAAGGACCTGGAAGATCTCGACGAGGATGAAGATGTCGAACCGAGGTCTCGTGGGCCTTCGAAGCCAGACGATTATGACGACGAAGAGTGGGAAATAAAGTCCGCCATTGGCCGTGATTGTACTCTGGATTACGAGGTAATTCACTCCTGCGTTTATTAGTATCATCATGATCATTATAATGAAAATGAATGTTACCAGAGCGCACTATGAAGCTTTAAGAATTCTGAGTTATCTTTTCTTTGTGATTATTATGGAGGAACGCCAATTCATGGTCTTGGGGAAAGGGACATAGACAAGGCGCAAAAAAAAAAAAAAAAGCGTACTTCTAATAGAAACAATACTCTAAAACACAGAAAATGCTACAAGAAGGCTATATAGACAAATAAATTGATGTACGGCAAATTTTGACAGATAATAATAAAACATAATAATTGGCGAATGTATTAGTCACTAAGATTACTATGTTATCTTATCCTTCAACATCTAAGGCTAGGTCGGATATTATATTTTTAGTACATCCAGTGACTGTTTTGAAACATTTGGACTAGGCTTCAAAGGTGACTCTTAACCTTCAATTCTCACCAAGGCGCCTCAGTTGGATGCCTTGACTGATGCTAGAGGGACTCGAGGCACTTCCAGTTAAGCAACTAGCTGAAGCCAGTGCCTCATAGTGTGAGAGGCTCTGAGCTTCTTGAGTGCCTTAGTGCCTGGGTGAGCGCCTATAGTATAGCTGCATGGTCTTCAAAGTTAGGACCACTTTTCATCCCAAACTCTTTTAAATTAACTATAGCTGTTGCTCAGTTGTTATTTGTTTCAAAGTTCCAGGTCGAAATTTATCTTTTAGAATTTGACTCAATGACCTTGGTGGTAAATTCATGCAGGAAGAGGAAGATCAATATGACAAGCAGGCTGTTGGGAAAGAGAACTCTGGTGACCGCTTGTTTATGAAGGATATAAATGACGATGGGATAGAAATAGATTCTTGCAATGTTCTTCCTGCTTCATTTGGTGACTTTGTGAGAGACCCACGCGCTAATCACTTGGCTGCCAAAATTAGGCTGAAGGAAGATGCTGAAGCAGCTAAAAAGATTGATACACTGCAGGTCTCTGAGAAATCTGCGCCAGGCAGTGATGATCCACATGGAAACACATCTCTAGAGAGAAATAACCCAAAATCAATTTTGAAGAGGAAAGATTATCCTTCAGAGTCCAAACCCCAGAAACGTGTTCGATTTGATTCTCAATATGATGATAGAAGTAATGATGAATCTGAGGGAGCCAGAGACATCTGCATGAAGACTTCTTCAGTGCAAGAGGTCACAGCTTTTAATCGGTTATCACACACTGAAGAGTTCACATCAGCAGTCCCAGATTATATTCGTAACCCGTCAAGATACACACATTATACTTTTGACTCTTCAGGTGACATGGACGACAGTTCTAATAAGCAAGCTTATATGGATTTTCTTTCTCAGCTGAAGAGATCAAAGCCTGCTACTGAATCGCAGGCAGATGATAGATTGGAAGATCTTCCAGCAGTCACATTTATATCAAAGAAGAAATCAGGAGGTGCCACAATGGTAGAGACTGATGCCATGTCAAAGCAAAATATTGATGGAGCAAAAGAGTTGATGCATATAAGGGGCATGCCACTTGGCATAGCTGCTGGTGACACTGAAAATAATGATGTTTGTGCAATGGAGGAGGATGAGCCAGAAGTAATAGATGATACGAAAAAGAGCTCTCAAAAAATGAATCGCCAGTACAGAAGGAAACCCCAGGAACTGGACGTGCCTACTGTTTAGCAGCGTTGATAAATTCCGGAGTTGAGAATGCCAATGTATCATATCACGCGTCAGGATTTTCACGTGGCAATGATGTTGAGCAACTAAGCGGTAAATTCAATGTACTTGAATTTTCCACATCGCTTTTAATTAAGGTTCATGTATTTCGGAACTTTGATTGGAATACATTTGCTGTACATGTTATCCTAACTATTGAATTACCTGTTTGCCTTTTTATATAGTATTTTGAAGTGAGGAGCTCCGTTTCTCAAATTCAGGAAATCTGAATTTTGTACCTGGAGCGACAGTTTCTATTCGTACAAGCTTGTCAACCCAAAAAAAAATAAAAAAATAAAACAGAAGTCAAGGTGTGTGATGCTGGGGCTGGTCGAGTTTTGACCCTTGCCCGGCGTCCGCATGGGTTTGGCCGTATACTAAAAACTAAGTGAGGAAAAATGTCACAAGTTTTAATCCGGTTATAATTTAATTCTTAAATTTTAACTTTTACAATTTAAATATTATAGTTTCCATATATATTTAAAAATAAAATTATATAAATTAAAATTATGGTAACATTTATATCTAATATTTTATATTACTAAATCTTTTTAATCTTTATAAATATTATAAATATTAGAAGTTTAAATATTTTTAATTTTGATAATTTTATTTTTTATAATATAAGAATTAATATTTAAGTATTTAAAATTATAGAAATTGATTTGTAAGAGATAAAATTAAAAAATTAAAGTATAATTGAATTAGAATTATAAAATTTGAACTATAATGAGTTAAAAGTTAAAATTAAATTATAATTAAGTTAAAAATAAAGGAATTAA